CGTCGAGATTCGAAACTATTATATCCACGTATGACATTTAGATTGAATAAAACTCGTTTATGGTAATGAAATTTCCGAACGAAAAATTGAAACCTATGTTTCCGATGTTCGGGCGGCAATAAAATTCTTCCCGCATCCATAAATCCTTTATCTTCCGCGTTTCATACCCCACTAATCTCCACCGCGGAAACCACATCACGATAAAATGTACGATCCAACCGATGTCGACTCGTATAAATTATTCGAGTGGCGAAATGCCCTGGCCCCGATTGAAATTTGAAGAACCGCGTCGCGGGCTCGTTTATCTTCGAATGGGCCCATTAAAAACCTCGTCCGCGGAAAATTGATCTCGTTAGAGGGGCCGGAGGCTGCAGCCCCGCGCGCGCGCGCGCGGCCTCGCGCCGGCAATCTATTTCGATTCCCGTCCGAAGATATTACTCTTCCGCCTCTAGTGACCATGTGGAACTTACCGGTGGTGGAGTTGATGAGAAAATAACCCTCCGGATTGCCGCTGGTGATGGAAAATGTGAATTGTTGGGGCGAGACGTCGCGATCGAACGCCCGTATCTGCAGGACGTTCACACCTGCCGGCGAGTTCTCCGGCACGGACGGATAGTAGACCGCCGCCTCGGTCAGCGGGGTGTTGTCGTTCTCGTCCAGCACCTCCACGTACACCTGAACAGAGTTCGGCTGCGAATTATTTACAAGGCGACGTGTCCGACCGCGGTCCCGTAGCGAGTCGCGAAAAAAATTGGGAAAAAAAGCTGACGAACAATCGAGACCTTCCTCGCGTTTTTCGACGTTCAACACGTCGGAACCGGTTCTACCGAACTGTCGATTGAATATTACCGAAGGTAGAAGTTTCGAAATGTGAGACCGATCCCGTAGAACTCGAAAGAATCAGTTCTCCGGCGGCGGATTGAAAATTTTGTCCGTCGTTCGATCGGATTTTCTCCGGGCGTTTCGCGATTGTCGAATATATCACGGAGTTCCGACGTGGGAGCCGCAAGATTCGCCCGAGATACAAAAAAGAGAAATAAATTGTCGCCGATAGAACGATGTGCGCCATCTAAATGGTGCGCATTCGTCATGACAAACCTGTAAACTGGAGCTCAACGGCACCACGCCGTGGTCCTGCGCGAACACGGTCAGCCAGTAGCCCCTCTTGGTCTCGACGTCGAGCACCGCTTTGGTCCTGATGTTGCCTGTAACAGAAAAGTAACCGCGAAACGTTAGAAACAGGATCGAAGCTCGGAGGGCGGGACGTCGACGGTGGAGCTCGCGTCGCTAATTAAGAGGAAATCAGGATATACTCGATCGGGGGCGGGTCTGGGAGCCGGGTAACTTTAAAAATCGGTATCAGGGAACCTTATCACCTACTCGTTCGATATCTCGCGTGCCGGGGGACGCGGATTGAATGGGAACGGGCCGTTCCACGGGAGTAATAGAAAAGAAGGCTGGGCGATGGAGGCGAAAATAAAAAAAAGAAAAAAAATAAGGGAGCTCGGGCTGGAACTCTGGGTGGGAACGAGAGGAGACTGGAACGGGGAGCGAGAACGAGGCGGTATTACCACCTTGCAAGATAGCTGGCAACAAGGACCGATATGAAATGACGTGCACGTACGTGGCGAGTTGCCAACGGTGCGCGGCGGATAGCGCAAAAATTGGACTGCATTCCTGGTGTTTACACGTCGAGCACGGTGTTCCGCGTGTCTTCGATCGTTTTTGCGAGATTCCAGCCGGCCTACCTGGCGCTTTTTGCCACGTTGTATACCGTGAATGGGCGCCCGGTTGGTTTATTACGGCATTAATGTAAAAGATAGGCGACCGATAATACTTCGCGCGGGGCCAACGAGGGGGAACGGCGAGAGATCGAGCGCGCGAAACCCGTGGACACGGCGAGAGGGGCAGGGTGGAACGCCGAGGGCTCGATTAATTAGCAATTCGAGATGTTATGCACGGGAGCAGATGTAGATCGTAATCAAGATTACCCCCGATTTGTTCTGTCGGTAATTACATCTTCGGATTTCGCCGAGGCGTCTTCATTAATCCCGATCTTTCGCGTGCTCGCCGCTGGTTGACGATCGATCCTTGCACGTACCATACATATTCCGCGGATATATACTATACAAACACGTGTTCTGGTATAATATCGAGCGGATAATTCCTCGATATCGATTAATTATCGGACGAAATTCCGAACACGTTGCGTCGGTGGCCGCGTTATTTATAGTCTCGTTTCGGCGAAATTCCGCGCGGAATCGCCAGCCAGGCCGCGTTATCTTCTTCCTTCGGTCGAACCGCGTACGCACGCCAATAGCCGCGATCGGTTAACTTTTTGCGCCCGGCAAATTGCTGTCCGATGAGTCGATAGGTTCTCAGGAAAAAATACGTTCCCGATATTCGAGGTGGGCATTTGCTCTCTTTGCTCTTTAATGATACCCTTTAATTCGGTTCTAATGGCTGCCGCATACGTTATCCTTTCTACATCGATTGCAGCCGGTGGTTTAAAGGATCGTTTGAATTATTCGATGCTGATATTTAATAATTCTTCGGTGCGCGGTTCCTTTTTTCCCGTTGCCTCGCGATGGAGACTGAATTTAGCTCTTGTTTGTAGCTTCACTCGAATCGTGTATTTGAACGGCGAAAGATTATACTCGCAGGAAGAAATATTCGGTAAAGGAGCTCATAGCTACTGGAACATTGTCCAGATTATTGTTCCAATTCTGCAGGCGGCCGCGTTGATATTATCCATCACCAAGAATTACGTGCCACGCGTATTTCTCCGCGAAACGGTGCTTACGCTTTTTTCGCTTCACATATTCCCACAGGAATGGCTGTCATTTACCTTCACCGGCCTCCAATTTGTCACCGCGTGCACGCGTGCCGATTTTATTGTGCCTAAGCCGTGAATCTAAGCCTTGGCTTGATTACATTCGCCGAGGAATTTATGCGCGCATGTTCGACGACGGCGTTTAATCGAGTCGTTTCTCCCGAACGCTTTCATTTAGGGTCCTTCAAAACCCATAACCGTCTTTCGAGTCTGTCGGAGAAGTTTATACAAACATAAATACACGACATTCGATAGATCGGTAATAAAATACCAGAAACTTATATTAGATCATATTAGATTTCCTAAACAGCCCGAAAAATAATTTACGACGCAAGTGACCACGTTTTATAAACCCTTCGCCGTGCCGAGCACCGTCGATCCTATTCCCCAAAACTCCCTAAAACTCATTTTTAAACGGCGAACACCAGCGTAACCTTCATAAATTATGAAGCACCCCCGATATTTGCCGCGCGTAATTCCCCGTCCCGCCGTCGTGCCCGCAGCGCGGCCGAGACACGTGTTTTCGAGCCGCAGAAGAGCCGATGTAGACACGTGCTGGGTTTAATAGCGACCAAGTGGGAGAATATATTAAATTTACTACCGTGAACGCGACTCGCGGAGCAGGGGGGAGGGTTTACAGCATCGTATAATAGGATCCCGTCAGTGGCAAACCAGCGACGGTTATGGCTGTGTCTACCGAAGACGCGAGCTCCGCTTTTCGTGGCCCAGTTTTTCCCGGCGAACAACATTACCGACTTAATTCCTTTCGGAACCGTAACGCTCGCGGAACGAACCCCGCCAGGAACTCCTTTTTCCGTGTCAAGAGATACTCTCCGCGTAACGCGGAAGTTCTCAGTGGCGGGGAAGAAAGGAGGGAGAGAGAAAGAGGTAGCAGAGGGTTGAGACAGGTAATGGAAAAAGTTGAGATCGGAAAGATTTTTCCTTGCAACGCGAAATAAACGCGTTCCAATGTATATTCCTGGGGAAGCGCAAGGGGAAACGACGATAAAAATTAGACGTGGCCGGATTAAAATCGATGTTCCTACGTCGGCGACGAATTTACAATGTTCCGCGGGTGAGATCGCGATTGCGAGCGGCGGAGACACTTTTCAGTGGGCAGGAAATTAGTTTCTCGTGTATCGGTACGGCTTGATTGCGGCTCGGCGAATGGACGCGGCCGCCGTGAATTCGCGAGTCGGAATGCCGCTGGGTCGAGCTAGCCGGGTCTCTAGAGTCTTCGCGAACGACTCGGGAGCCTAGTTTCCAAGTAGGCATCACGATCTCGAAGTAACGTCGACGATCTTAATAATTATTGGGATCGACGGCGGACAGGTTCTCGGAGTAATTGGTCCAAGTGAAAAGTAAAGCTGTTAATCTGCTCGGATGGGAAAGGTATTTGATGCCTTCAGGGTTTCCTGATCATTTCTTCAGCGCCGTATTTCAACTGCATCGGAATTTTTACATCGACAATCGAATACCCTTCGCGCGATATTCTATTAACAGATTACGGAGAGGGAGAAATAATCCCGGTGCAAACATATTTCGAGATGACCGAGGAATATTTTCCAAATCAATTTGACCGCAGCCAGGCCAGGTAGCCATCGAGATGGCCGGATAAACGGAACATTCTCCGCGCGAAGGAATTGAATCGTCGCAGTGTCATCGATGAGTCTTTCATCGATCCCATCGGCGACCGGCGAGGACGCGCACGGCATTTCATAGCGAGGCTGGCGCTATTAAATCGAGCCACGTCGTCGATAGCGGTGAAGCGGAGCCCGTCGCGTCGAGTAATAAGAAACATTAAGCCGGAGAAATCGGCTTGCAACTCGCGCCGATTCCTCCGCGGCTGACGAGGGCGTCGGATCGCTGTATCGGCCGGAATCCTCATTCGTTTCGGCCAATTTGACGCTGGAAGCCGCGACGCGACGCTTTCACGAACGAGCCGTCGCGGGAATTCGACGAGCGTGTCGTGAAGCATTCGCGCCGGTGCGCCGTTTAAACGTTCCATCGTCGCGGTGGAAGTGTTCCGTCGCGCTATCGGGCATCGGCCGGGAGCGTGATCCCGGCAAGAGCGACGGAAACGCGAGCGCGAGGGCACCGATCGACCGTGAAGCGTGGAAAATATTTAATAAGCGCGAGTACGGCACGCATCGATAATTTCCTTAGCGGTCCTACGCTCCGTTGGCTCGCTGAGAAACGATCTCTCCGCCTGTTAGGTCGACACCTATGCCTCGACGCGATTCTTTGTCCGACGGGATCGAATAATTGAGTGAAAACTGCAGGGTTCGTGACTGGGCCGGAATGGAGACAATTAATCAAAATTTACGAACACGGAAACCTTTTACCAACACTGAGTTTTAGGGTGGTCCGCGTGTTAAATGTTTAAAGACACGTTAACTATAAGAGGATCGTTGACACATGATTAATGGTAACATAAAATACATCAATTAGCGATTCGACTTGTTAATTCTGCAAGTTAGATTCCTGGCAGAGAATACGAAACAGTCAGCTCCGATCGCGAACGTCTGAAGTTTAAATTGCTCGTCCAATAAGATTAAAATTCCGTCGAATTTCGATACCGTTCCCCGTCGAGCTTAAATATAAGGAATCACGCTCGACGGGGAACACTCGCGGAGTCGACAAAAGTTTCCATCGCGGCAGGGCAAGAGGAGACGGAAGAGAGGGATGAAGCAAACGAGATAAGCTTTTCGAGATCCACGAGTACCGGCAACATTAGCGCCCAGTGCTCGGCCGGCAACACGCGCACTCCCGGCTCGCTTCAATTTTTCCAACTTTTATTTGCGGGGTGCGCGCGCGCTAGCGCGCGCTGCCGCTGCCGCCCGGTGAAAGCGCTTTCTGGGTCAATAGCTGCTGAAACAAGATCATCGGGAGTTCGAATAAATACCGCGAGTTAAAGACCAACAGAAACAGAAGAAAAACTGGTATCCCGTTACCAGTCGAGAGCTAAAGTGCACCGACAACTCAAACGCAGCTGGGCTGTTCGGTTTCCTTTTTACAGTTCAAATTCGTCCAATCCAATTACGAGCGCGGCGAATGGGGTTGCGCGCGGTCGACGTTGCCATCGGCGATCCCATCCGGCCCGGTAATCCGTCTACGAGGGGAGGGAACGACTTAAAAAGGTGTTAAGAGCCCCTCGGACGTCGCAAACCGGCCGGAAGAAGGATACGGTGTTCGAGGGAATCGCGAGAATCTCGATCCCCGGTGATTCCGGGCTGCGATCTATCCCATTTCATAAACGGCTGATGCCGGCTCTACGTCCGAGGCCAGCCGGGGAGCTTCACGGAAGAGTTACAGAATTCGTTTTCGCGAGTCTTTGAGCCTTTGTTCGAGTAACGATGCCTCCACTCGGCG